AAAAAAAAAAAAAAATCAACTAATTAAGAGGTTTTAACTCTTCAACATTTGGGAGGTTTTTCCCCCCCTCTTAAACTGATTATGTGAAAATACAAATAATGAACACAAAAAATTTTAATTTTTTAACATTTTTTATTTATTTCTGAGAGAGAGAGAGACAGCATGAGCAGGGGAGGGGCAGAGAGAGAGGGAGACACAGAATCTGAAACAGGCTCCAGGCTCTGAGCTGGCTGTCAGCACAGAGCCTGACCTGGGGCTCGAACCCATGAACCGTGAGATCATGACCTGAGCCTAAGTCGGATGCTTAACCGACTGAGCCACCCATGCGCCCTCCAAATTTTTTTTTTAATGTTGAGAATTCTAAGTAGGCTCCACGCTGTCAGTGCAGAGGCCAACGCGGGGCTCTAACTCATGATGTGGGAGATCAGGACCTGAGCCAAAATCAAGAGTAGTATAGTTAACCGACTGAGCCACCCACGTGCCCCAATGAAGACTTGTGAGACTATATGTCTACATGGTAAATTTCCAGAAGTAGACCTGCTATCTTGACAAAGGGTAAATACATTTAAATGTTATAGATACTGTCAAACTTTGGGAAACATCATGGAACCAGCAAGGTCACTCTCATAAAGACAAGAATAGTTAGGCTATTTTGAGGAGAGGGGCAAATTATACACACGTGCTGTCATTTCTCAGGGTTCTATCCTCCATCCTCTTCCTTCTTGCCCTGTATACACCCTCTCGCTGATGTTATCCACTCTCATGGCCTCCATGACATTCATGTGCTAACTCTTTCTACTTTTTAGCTTTAGATCAGATTTAACTCTCCACTTTAAAGCAGCTTAGTCAGTCGCTTACTACCTAACCTATAGGAACATCAAACTTGGCAAGCCTAAAGAATAAAACCCTAAAGTATAAAATGATTGTTAAGTTTTTAACTAGTAACTATTTAAAGGAATCCAAGAGTAAACTAGAAACCAAATATCCATTAAATGATGGATAAACAAAATATAGTATATTCATTCAATGAAATATTACTTAGCAACAAAAGAAAATGAAGTACAGTTAAAACATCGATGAATCCTGAAAACTATGCTAGCTCAAAGTTACAATAAGCCCATGTGAATTATAGGACTTCATTTATATGAAATGTCCAGAAGAGGCAAATCCATAGAGACAGAAAATATGACTGCCTAGGACTGGGGTGCTGGGACAAAGGGGAATGACTGCTCATTGTCATGGGATTTTTTTGGGAGAGATAAAAATGTCCCAAATGTGATTATGGTGATGGCTGCATAACTCTGAATATACTAAAATCCACTGAACTGTACAATTTAAATGAGTGAATAGCATGATATATGAATTATACTTCAAATAAAAATGTTTAAAAAGCAGAGGAGAAAGTTAATAAAACACTAAGATGCCTGGATGGTTCAGTCAGGTAAGCACCCCACTTTGGCTCAGATCATGGTTGGGGAGTTTGAGCCCCGCACTGGGCTCCACGTTGCCATTGTGGAGGGTGCTTGGGTCTCTCTCCCTCTCCTTCCCTCTTTGTACCTCCCCTGCTCTATCAAAATGCATAAATAACTTAAAAAAAATACTGATAAAGAAAAAAGGGAAACCATGTTATTAATACAAAGGGATGAGAAATAATCTAATGCATGTTTCCCTAAGGTTGAAAACATTACACACACAGACCACCCTCACACCCCACACATTATACAGTCTTTCCCAGTTTGATTTACAGAGCCTTCTTACATCATGAGTTTGAGTGAGTAAGAAGTCTAAGGGAAACCTGAGTGTCTCAGTCGGTTAAGCGTCCAACTTCAGCTCAGGTCATGATCTCACAGTTCGGGAGTTTGAGCCCTGCGTCGGGCCTGCAATCACAGCTCAAAGCCTAGAGCCTGCTTCGGATTCTGTGTGTCCCCTCCCTCTCTACCTCTCCCCTGCTTGCACTCTGTCTCTCAAAAATAAAATAAACATTAAAAAAAATTTTAATTAACAAGTCTAAAACAAAGTGGAATAAATGTTAAGTTTCTTCTTCTGGAATTAAGCAAACTGATGGGGAAGACCGTATTTAAATCAACAAAGGTTATAAAAAAGAAAGCTTAATATTTTAGGAAAGAAGTCTTTCATACTACAATTTATAATGTAGGAATTTATGTGTATTCTAAGTAAACAAGAAGTCACAGAAGAGCAAATTTAATTATAAAGAGTCACTCAGCAATCATTTATGGAAAACTAATAAATTTCTACAAGTGAAAACAGGAAGAGAGAAAAAATGGAAAATATATTTTAAAAAGCCCTGAAAATATATCAACCTTTGACCCCATAATCCCACCTGGAAAAACTTATATTCTCTAATAATATTCATGGGTATTGGGGAAGGTTTTCAAGAATGTGCTGTTTAAGAGGCGCCTGGGTGGCTTAGTCCCTTAAGCATCTGACTCTGGATTTTGGCTCAGATCATGATCTCAGCTCAGGACTTCGAGCCCCAAGTCAGGCTCTGCAATCACTAACTGGAGTGCCTGGGTGGCTCAGCTGGTTAAGTTAAGCATCTGACTCTTGATCTCGGCTCAGGTCATTATCTCACAGTTCGTGAATTCAAGCCTTGCACTGGGCTCTGCGATCACAGAGTGACATTCTCTCGCGCTCCCTCTTTCTCTGCCCCTCCCTTGTTTTCTATCTAAATAAATAAACTTTAAAAATAAATAAATAAATGAAATTATGAACTGAAAGTCACCAACCACACTGTTTAACTATGGCAACCTCATAGAACATTTGTAGCCATTAAGAATGATGTAAAAGAATATTTAATCAGGTGTCCATAGTATATATACAAATTATACACAACATCTCAATTTTGTACACGCATTTGTATTATTTAAAAGCTAAATTTTAAGCAACAAATTCTTTTTGGTATCCTTCACATTTCTACAAAATAATACCCATTATTTTAAGGGAACCAAGGTAGCCAGTCAGTTAAGAGTCCGACTCTTGGTTTCAGCTCAGGTCATGATCTCACAGTTTGAGACTGGGCTCTGTGCTGACAGTGCAGAGCCTGCTTGATATTGCCTCCCTCTCTCTGCCCCACTCTTCATACTCTTTCTAAATATAAATAAACTTAAGTCTCTTAAAAAACAAAAAGGATATTCTTTTAAAATCAGAAGTATTCAAACAAAACAACTTTACTTGAAGTTTGAAACCTTCTAAAGATTCCAGGATACAAAGATTCCAGCTAATACTGACATGGAAGCAACATCTAGAAGTAGGTAGGAGGCAAGGCCTAACAGGAAGGAAGCCACTCTTTCCCTCTCCCCTCATCATTTAATAAAAGTCTAATTAAAAAGTTTAAAAAAAAAAGTTTAATGAAATGTTACTTACCATTTGGATGAAACATTTTGGATAAAAACCTAACAGTTGGTGGTTTATTTGGATACTCTTCAGAAAATTCTATTACTAGTTTAAAAGTACCTAGATAGAAACAAACCAAAATAATTACAGTAAAGACAAGCAAAATTTTTAATCTTTTCATCAATGAATCCCCAACCCAATACTGATTTTTGCACAACCACACAAAAATTACTGTCAATTTTGGCTTAGCACATAAACCATAGTAAATATACCTTGCTTTACTTTAGACTGCTTAACACACAGCCTTGGCAAGCACTTGGAAACACACACGGGAATGTTAACCACCATACTTTTGGAAGGCAATGTGGCCCTTGCTACCAAAATTCAAAATGTACATTAGGGGAACTAAAGCTGGTTTATAACAGCTTAGAAGGATGTATGCCAAAGAATTGTGGGAGGGGGTAACTACCACACAACAAGGGACTTAGAGGAGGCATGGACACTCTAATCTGAAAGGTCTCTTTTGTCCCTGTATGAATCCATTCACTTAAATATGCCAAGAATCACTACGAAGAACTCTCAATTCCAAATCTATTATGCAAAAATAACCAGTATCAGTGGTTTTGTCTTTTTAGACTTTTCTGTTTAGATACTATCCAGATTTTTATTTTGAGAAAATCTACTTGAACATTGAAGAGGTATTCCAACTACAACCCTTGAGACATACACTGTCAATTGAAACTTATTCCAGACATATCTACAAGGTTCTTCCCTTAATTCATCAATGTGGTTTTAAAAAGCAAAAAATCCTTTCTTCTATTTATTCTATCTTGTATTTTATCTTTATGTATTTGATACATAATCCATATCTTTCTTACCTTTTTTTGCCACTTGTAAATTTGGGATTAGGGAGGTCAAAGATACAAGCAAAATCAAATGTGAGATCTATTTTGTATTCTGAATAGAGGTATTATGAAATGCAGTTAAATAGTGAAGGCCGTCTTGTATCTGATAATGTATTTTGAAAGTTTACAACCTAAAAAAGTATAATGTAAAAATTTCAGGCTATACAAAATATAGAACAGCTATTTTCAAGATACCCCCCCACCCCCCGCATATGGAGTCTAAGGACCCCTTTACACTCTTATTCCCAACCACAGCCACCAGGCTTCCAATGGGAAGTCAACTGAATGTGAAGATGGGGAGAGACACATATGATGGCATACTATTTCATGTATTTCCATCAAAAATGAAAAATATTTCATTTAAAACTATTGGCTCTTTAGTAACTAGCTTGCAACAATTCTCCCAGTTTTTAACAATGTGTTCTCATGAATCGGTTGGTACAAACTGCCTCCAGCATGCTACTGGATTTAACTATCAGTATTTTTCTTTTTTTTTTAAAGATTTTATTTTTAAGCAATCTCTACACCCAACACGCACTCAAACTTAGAACCCTGAGATCAAGAGTTGCATGCTCTACTGAGCCAGTCAAGTGCCCCTATCAGTATTCCTTCTTATATTAGACAATACTGAACTAAAAAATTTTCTCGGGGCGCCTGGGTGGCTTAGTCGGTTAAGCGTCCAACTTTCGCTTGGGTCATGATCTCGTGGTTCGTGGGTTCGAGCCCCGTGTTGGGCTCTGTGCTGACTGCCACCTCAGAGCCTGGAGCCTGTTTCAGTCTGTGACTCCCTCTCTCTCTGACCCTCCCCTGCTCACGCTGTCTGTCTCTCTCTCTCCTAGAAATAAATAAAAACAACAAAAAAAATTTTTTTTCTCAAGTAATCTATATGCCCAACATGGGACTCTAACTCTCTTGATCTGGAGATCACAAGTCCCATGTTCTACTGACTGAGCCAGCCAGGCTCCCCCAACTCAAGAGAGTTTTTAAATATTCACTAATTACTGTAAATTCACTACACATTAGCTTAAATAGCAATGAATTATAAATAATATATCCCCCCTCCTCCAAAGTTAGTGAGAAGTGTAGCACTGTTTTACAATTTTGCAAATCTCCTTAATGACCGGCTTAACAGAAGACAACTAGATTTTCTTAGCTACTTCTGTAATCTGTTACAATATGCTGTTTTGGTTGAGGGATAGGAGGCAAATCAGGCCTCATAAAATAGGTAAATGAAAAAGCAGAATATTTTCATAGTTTTTTCAGATAATTTTAGGTACTCTTTTTTTGATTACTAAGGAACTGGTAGGGTTTTAAAGGTTAGTTGCAATGTAGAATCTGAAACCACATCAATAAACATTTTGCATCAGTTACACTAAAATCTGTTGCACAATGCATAAACCTTTTATTCATCTACAATTTTCTAGTATCATACATTGGCAACTCAGAAAATACGGACTTCTATAAATGTAAATTCTGCCACATTTCATTGTATACTATACAAAAACAAATCACAATTAGGTAATAGCACCTAATATTATCAAAGAAGTCTTTAAGTACAGTTCGCTTCAGTCACTTATGAATATGTCTGCCCAACAATCAAATCTAAATTATCATAGTTCATCTCTCATTCATTCAAGTAGAAATGCTCCATGAAAAGAAACAGTTTATGTTGCAACTCCAACAACTGCAGACAATTATGGCAGAAGTGTTTTATGCATACTTCCCACTTAATCACACAGATTTTAAAAATGTATACTCAAGGGTCAGAATTTTATTTTTTTCAGCACGCGCGCGCACACACACACACACACACACGAGGGGAAAAGGGACAAAGAGAATCTCAAAGCAGGCTCCAAGCCCAGCACAGAACCGTACATGGGGCTTCATCTCACAATCCTAAAATCAAGACCTGAGCCAAAATCAAGAACTGGATGTGTGACTGAATGAGCCACCCAGGCGCCCCAAGGTTCAAACCAAGAAGTATCTTTTTTGTCATCAAGACATTTTTAAGTGAAATTGGCAACTTTTTAAAATGCAAAGAAATTAATTTGGATTTAAATAAAGATTAAAAAAAAATAATAATGAATAGCACATCTCTTAAAAAAATGCCAAGAACACTGGGGTGCCTGGGTGGCTCAGTCGGTTAAGTAACTAGCTCCTGATTTTAGCTCAGGTCAGGATCTCACATTTCCTGGGTTTGGGTCCCATTCTGTCGGCACAGAGCCTGCTTGGGATTCTCCCTATAACTCCTTCTAACTCAATCAATAAATTACAAAGAATATGGGGTGTCTGGTTGGTTCAGCTGATGGAGCATGCAAGAGTGCATCTTGGGGTGGGGAGTTCTAGGCCCATTTTGGATGTAGAGATTACTTAATAATTAAAATCTTTAAGATACATTAATTTCTTAAAATCAATAAAAAGTAAAAAACACAATGACTATTACTACAGTTTAGAGCCACCATCTTGATTTGTGCCAAGATGCTAAATTGCGCAGGTCCAATTATAACCACTAAAGGTTTTGTACCATTAGTATAAATACTAATAGAGTATAAAAGGCAAATACTGCCTCACTAATGGTATAAAGGCAAGTCTTTTTTTTTTTTTTTTTTTTAATGTTTATTTATTTGAGAGAGAGAATGAAAGTGAGTGAGTGGGGTAGGGGGAGAGAGGGAGAGAGAGAATCCCAATCTCTGTGAGCGCAGAGCCCGATGAGGGGCTCAATCTCATGAACTAAGAGATTATGACCCAAACCACAGTTAAGAGCTGGACACTTAACTCTGGATACATATTAGATGAAGGGACAGTTTTGATCACAAGGTATCCAAGAATCAGTTTCAGGGACTTTAAGGGAATTATGTACCACCCTGGAGAACCTCCTGATAAGGTGTACAAAAGCTGAAGTCCCTAAGTCCTTTTCTTCAACTCCTGACCTCCACCCAAAGGTAACCACTGGTAACTGTGGTATAAAACCCTTTAATACACACACACTTGCATGTATATGTTTAGTAAAAATATAATACAACATACAATATTCTGAAACTTTTTTGTGTCTTGAAATGTACATCCAGATCTACTTTATTCTTGAACAGGTACGTAATATTCTAGAATGTAGATATATAATAATTTGCCTACTAGGCATTCAGGTTATCTCCTTAAAAAAAGTACTGCAACGGGGTGCCTGGGTGGTTTAGTCGGTTGGGCGTCCGACTTTCGCTCAGGTCGTGATCTCGCGGTTTGTGGGTTCGAGCCCCGCGTCGGGCTCTGTGCTTACTGCCAGCACAGAGCCTGGAGCCTGTTTCGGGGTCTGTATCTCCCTCTCTTTCTGACCCTCCCCTGCTCATGCTGTCTCTCTCTCTCTCTCTCCTAGAAATAAATAAAAATATAAAAAAACAAAACAAAAAAAAAACACCCAGTACTGCAATCTGTATCTTTGTGCAAACTAACTTCAATGGCTTACTTCTGAAACCATTTCATAATTTAAAAAATCTGTCCAACAATTCTTAATATCCAAGCTACAATTAGGGAAAATCTAAGGACCTGGGTTGTGGTGAAAATACTAAAATTAAGAGACATATGATTATGCAGAATGCTAACTTATTTATGGGTGTCAAATGCTAGCTACCTGTGAAGCTACTAGCAGCCATTTCTTTAAAGATTTTTATTTTTTTTATTAACTCATCTCTACACCCAATGTGGGGCTCAAATTTATAACCCCAAGATTGAGATTCGCATGCTTGACTGAATGGGCTAGCCAGGCGCCCCAGTTATGTATTTTTAAGAACAATTTCAGCTTGATCTCGGCTCAGGTCGTGATCTCATGATTCGTGAGTTCAAGCCTGGCGTCATGCTCTTCGCTGGCAGTGCGGAGCCTGCTTGGGATCCGCTCTTTCTCTCTCCAAAAAAAAAAAAAAAGTGTACAATTAGCCTTCTTTAATCTACCAACTAGGCTTACAGTTCTACAGCCAAATACCAAAGTAACACAAAAAACTGGCAATGGAGGTGATCAAAGTGACGTGGAAAGAAAAGTCCTTTGTAAACTGTAACTTCTCAGTAGCATTATTTAGTTTTAGTATAACCTAATAACGATAGAAAATAGTTTAAAATTAGATATGCTGGCGTTAGAACTTCCTACCTAAAAAGGAGCTTCCTAATACTACAGAAAGCATAATGAGAATGACTTACCATCTTCAAAGGGTGTCCCTTCTGGTCTGAAAACAAGAAGATTTCTGATTAAAAGACGTTTTCATTCTGATTTTCCTGATTTCTAAGAGTGAAAAGGATAAACTCAGAGAAAGAGGGGCTCATTCTAGTGACTTGTGAAGTTTTAAAGATATTGTTAGTTTACTGTCACGTTAGCCCTCGATTTTTAGAGATGTAAGCATACAGGGTAACCATTTTCTAAGTTTTCATTTTAGGGTGGTTTTACAGTAAAACAAAAACAAAAAAAGGGTCATAACCTTAGTACAAAAAGAATTAAATTCATCAATACCAACCACGTCTTAAGAGAAGAGGTAATATTTTCAATTTATGTCAATAAGATGGAAATCAATCACTTTTAAAGATAATTATAACACAAAGTGTCCTGCTTCCCCATAAAGTAATAGCTCTTGTTCCAAACAGCTAGAACTGATGTAAACCAAAAAAGACACTTCTTTTTGCTTAAATCTCTTCCCTGCCTCCATATTCCAATTTCATCTTTCATAAGCAGCACTATCAAGTTTATTTCAAGGGATTCAGGATCTCATAGTATGTTAGCCTGAATTTAATATACTCTTTCCTTTAAGAGTGAACTACACTCATTGTTTCACTAGTTTTTTTTCCCAGTAGTTTTTAACATGAACCCTTATAGCTAATTCATTGAAATTCTGAACTGTTTATGAAAGTATTCCTTTAAAGTCTGAGTGTAAAACCCAAGTTTAAAAAGTATGAAAGAAAAATGATCAAATCCAGGAAGACAAAAAAAAAAGCATAAGGAAATTCTAAAAAACAGAATGCTTCTCAAAAGGCTCCAGTTATTTCACACCGAGCTGCGAAACATTTATTTAAATTCTTACCACATTGCAAGTTCTCAGTATTTTTTACTCCTAACCTTTTTACAGTTACAAAAGAATGTAAGCATAAACATTTGTTGGTAGGTTTTGTATAAAATAATTTACTTTTGCTCATTTAGTTTCAAATGATATTATCAGTTAAAACCCGAAGTGATTATAAAATCATAGGCGGTAACACCAATGCAAATATAGATTTTATAGAACTACAAAAACACTCAACAGCATTGTCTGTTTTTTCTATTTTATGTTGCAGTTAAGGATTTCCCAGTTCCACTTCAGTCTCTTTCCCTAGTTGATACACTTTTTAAAAAGAATTACTGCACCTCTCCTTTGTTAGACCTTTCCACTCACCCAAATATAACTGCATTCCACTGCATGATGTTGTTTTCAGATGGTGCGCCACTGACACCCACAGGTGGGTCCTCTTGCAATCTAGAAATTCAGAGTAGTCATTTCCAAAGTTGAACATTAAGTCACTGAGAAGGCCAAACAGAACTCCTGTAGTCAATATGATCTACTCTGATACAAACTAATTCCATCTCCTTGCTATTGTGCTGAGGTGCAATAAACGATATCACTTAAAAAAAAAAAAAACCCAAAAAACAAAAAACTTAACAGGTATATACTTATTAAATATCTCTCCAAATTATGTAAAATTCCAAAGGGCGATGGAGTCATCCCTCCTCAAATATCAAGGTTCAAAGTTAAGACGGATCTTCACAAACTGATGCATACAGGCTGCCGTCAACAATAAAAATTAAAAGCCCCGAATGCAAAATATATTTTTATGCACCATCAATTTTGCTGCCATAAACATACAAAGGCTATGTGAGTTCTAACCACAGCTACCTGTACAACAGCACCTCTCCCCCCCCCCGCAAGGACCCTCAATGCAAACACTAAATGAAAACATTTACATTCAACTTAATCAGGAAACTAGTTTTAGGTAGGAGAGTAGCTCTAACCCTAACCCTCAAGATTTATCTCATTTGCTTCAATTAACAATAGCCTTTGAAGAAATCAAGCTTCAATTACTTTTTTCCCCGTCAGTCCATATTTTAAAGATCTTCCCTATAACTAAATCTCTCTCTCATTATTAGGAGACTCAATACAAAACTACCTTCCAACACATGTCATAATCAAATCTTGTAACATGAAGCCCCTGGAAAACTACCAAAGGTGCCATGTGTTCAACTCAGAATTAAACAGGTGAGTGCAGTAAGAAACCAGAGTAACAATGAAAACGAATCGAAGTTTTACTATTTGGATTTCAATCATCAGAAAGTGAAATTTGGTTTTAAGTTTCAGAAGACAACTTCTGCACCAAATAGAGCACTTCCTTATAAAAACTATCATTTCAATAGAAAAAAAAAGAGACATTTTATATACATATTTCTGTAGTGATGGTCACATAACACACTTTCAAATTAGTTGACATAAAAATAGCCCTTTTCAGTCAACCTTCAGATTATGCCACGATAATCAGAACCCTTAAAAGGAATTATACTGTTTCACATCCACCAAAAGTAAGCGAAATTAGAATATATTCAATGAGAAAACTATCCAAAGCTCAAAATGATGGCTTCCACAAATGCCTCACCTATGGCTTTCTAATAGCGAAATTGAGACGTTACTTTCTGAGCAGCTAATCTAAGTTTTTATCCTGGATATTTTGTCTCAATCAGGGCAGGTCTCCTCAGAAAAACACTTAAAAACGTGCACTGGATCTAGCTGTTTTCTCAGTTTTTTTCCCCGTACCTCCAAGTATCAAAGGTAAACAAATGAGAAAAAGTCACTTCCTCGTCAGTAACCCCAACACCTCCTAACAAAACCCTATTTTACAAAAGGAGGCCCAGGGAGTATCAGGTTAGCGCCAGTCTCAAGGAAGGCATTCTTCCAGACTTTGGAGGCTATAAATAGGGCTTTATATGCCAGGCCACAGAGCTGAGCTCCAGAGGCGCTGGCAGCCCGGGCTGGCAGCCCGAGTCCCAGGTCTCTAAGCCAGTTCTCAAGGTCCTTTCGGGCGGGAGAGGGGGAGTCGGGTTTCGGAGGATGGGTTAACCACCTCCGGACCTCGCGCTGCAGACCCCACCCTCGCTGCAGAAAGAACGGGCGGGGGCGCTTTTCGTCCCAACCCTGCCCCTGAAAAAAGACCACAGGGCCATCCAGCAAAACTAACTGGTGCAACAAGCAGAGAAAAAGACCCTGCAAGGGTTCTCTTTGGGGGACAACACATCGCCGGGTGCAGGGGCGGGGGGAGAGGGGCATGAGGCTTGAGCTCTAGGGCCAGACGTCTGGCAGCTGACCCAAGAGGGCAGCGGGGGAATCCTAGGTCAGCCCATAGCCATCTTTTTACTTTTGGGGGAGGGGGGTATCAAAATTTCTTACACTGGAAGAGCGAGCAAGGATGTGGCACTGCGAACGGGGACTGGGCTTCCGTCGGTACCACTGGGCCCACAGGAGGCCCTCTTAGGGTTAGGAGAGGAAAGTGTCCCGTATCCCCGCCCTGCGGCCCCACAGCCATGGGGAGGAGTCGTCATCCAGGCCAAGGTGAGGGCCCTTACCGCTTGAAATCCCGCATGAGCCTCCTCCGAGCCGGAGTCGACATGCTCCCCAGCTGCCCCGCGGTCAGTCTGAAAGAAAAGAGTCCCGCGCAGCCCCCCCACCCCCCGGCGCGGCGGCCGAATCACTGTGGGTCACCACCGCCGCCGAGGCTGCACAAACAACCCTGCAATGACGTCTCCCTCCGCCGCCTCCAGATCCCTCCGCCCTCCGCCAGTACCACGGAGTGAGGGGTGTAGGAAAAGGGCACGGGGCGTATGAGAGCACCTTATGGGAGCTTTTTAGCAGCGTTCTGTCTATTTTGCTACCTGATATAATCGATAAATTAGTGCTCTCTGTTCTCAAAATGTATATTGTGGATTAAGAGATCTCGAAACCGAAACGCCATTAAGTCCCTCCCCCTTTCACTAGTTTAAGCTGGCCCGGGTGGGGACAGAAAGACGCATCCGGGGCCAGAGATTTCAGGGAAAGAAGGTGGGATGACGTAAGGTCACGTGATGACGGCGGCGTTGTCAACAATCCACCCCTGAGGGGGAGGGGACGAAGTATCTAGAACCACGTGTCCCTGTGATGCGATTAGAAGGAATCAAGTGAGAGCGTCGCCTGAATCTGAGGCTTGGTCAGGTCTATGGAGTGGGTAGTTAAATTTACGGGGTTGAGTGCCGGGATAGGTGTTAACTAGTTTTCTTTTCAGTTTGTTTCATGAACAGGGACGGCGATTGTGGCGTAAGCAAAAGCTCGTTTTGCTTAACTCATTAAAACAGAGCCAAAATAATATGAATTTAAAATCCTTTTCGGTTGGTTCAATAGCTTATCAAATATGGTACGTTGGGCAATGAGGGGTCCTCCGTTTTTTATAAATGCAGCATTGAATGCCGAGGCCTACACCAAGTAAAGTTTCGTGAAATGCTTCCATTAGGCCGCCAGATAGCCTGGTAGATGCATTACAGTGGGGATTCCAGGATAGGAAATTCTGAGGGCGAAAAAGGACGCGATTCAGATTTTTTTAAAGGTTTGTCCACAATCTCTATAGACATTTTCTTTTAATATGAGGCTGCTCTCATTTGAGGATTTGTGTCAAACTGTCCATGGATTTGCCTAAGGTGGGTTACGTGGAGAGATCTCAAGAGAGTACTTAGAAGGGTGGTTGGTTGTCAAGAAAGCCTAAAAATATGAATCATTTGAAAAAGATTTTGCAGACAGGGGTTAGGGTTGGTTATGTATCTAACTGGGATAACTAGATTCACGTTTTGTTCACCAAGTAAGGTGCGAATGGGCCTGAATTGAGCTCAGGAGGTGTTGATCCTTCGGGACTCTGACATTTCCTTGAATTCCCTCTCTCTTTTGCCTTCAATGCCTGGCCTCAGGGCCGATAAAAGTCAGCAGGACTACTGGCACTTTATATCCTTTTGGGTTAATTCTTCAGCTCAAAGCATAATGGCATTATTGCACCAAGTTGCCTATAGTTCCACGGAACCAGAAAAGGTTAATTTCCCCCACTTTCTTGCTACCTCCTTTTCTTGAAACACTGAATTCTATTTTTTGCCAGCCCTAACTCTTGACAAGTTCTCCTATGCATTTGCAGATGTTTCTTTAAGTAAAAAGGTAAACATTACTTTTTGCCTTCCTGCTGTCTAATTCTCCTCATAGCGAAAGCTAAAGACCTATGGGTAGTATTACATTATTACATGCAGTGAAATGCTGAGGATAAACTGCAAAAAAAAAAATCCCTATTACGTCACTTACCCACCAATATATAATTATTATGTAAACTGACAGTTTATGGAGGCTGGCAGGCCAGCAGAACCCCATGTCTAGTGCTTACGAAATTAGATAACGGCTTTTTACATGTCAAGCCGTGTCGGCATGTCTACTGAACTTTGAATTATTTGGTTTCCCAAAAGGCGTTTTTTAAAAAGAAGTACGAGTCCAGAAAAAGCTTAAAAGCATAGATTCGGTGTTCAAGAAATGTTCTTGATTTAAGAACCATCTTAACCCCGTTTTAAAGATGCATGTGGACAGCTGAGGTCGAAGTCAGGTCTATGGAATTTAAGGTAACTAGGTAATGTAGACAACTATAATTACACAAGACTTCTTGGAAGACTTGTTTTGCAAGATGTCTCCGCTTAACGAGGGCAGCTATCCTTTTAGGACCCAGCACCAGCGGCAGGTGCTCTTTGGCCTAGAGGCATCTAAGACGCTGGTCCAGCAAGCTTCCGCCTCGGTGGCCCTTCACTAGAAGACGTGCAGACTCTCGGTGCAATTAAAACGTGGGTCCTCCCCCACCTCAGCTCAAAATCAACCTTGTGAGTTGGTCTCAATCCATATACTCCCCACCCCCAAGCAAACTTCCACTGGGCGCTTTCACCTTTTCTCATTTAATCTTCCGGGTCGGGTGGCGTCAGGCCGATGTTCCGGTCTTGCGCAGTAGGCCCGGGGGTGGGGTGGGGTGGGGATGGGCGGTGAGGCCCGCTGCATCGTTGCCATGGTAGTGGCCTGCCAGGAGCTAGCTGGGCAGGCGAGGTTCTTATCGTCGGTGTCCAGTAGACCCGCTGGGTCTGCGCGGAGCTTGGCTGGCGGCACTACAAAATGGGCTGGGACGTCGGCGGTTGACTGGACGAGGTGGACTTCGGGGCGAAGGGCGCGACACTGGTCCGGGACCCTAAGACGTCTGGTTTGAGGAGCGGGTGGGGCTGACCTGTAGGTGACTGCAGTGTTTTGGGAACCCCCATACTTGACGGGCGCATGATAGGAAGCGTGCGGATCCCACTCCTGATGGATAGGTGACATGTAGTGAAGGAATCTTAAATCTTAGCGGTCGTGAGAATGACCGAGCAGCAGGAAGCTCCGTAAATTCTGGTGAGGGCTGGAGCGTCACCAGGACACCCTACTCCCTACAGATGGCAAAGTCCCCAGAGACAAACAAGAGTCTGTGGAAAAGATTAACTGTTTTTTTTTTTTTTTTTGGAAAATGTTTACGTACTTTAAAATACGGGTTTATTATGGAAATGCATTACGCAGCTTGAATAAATAAAAGTACAAATACTTGACATTTTCTTTCTTTATTTTTATGAAGAAGAATCCAGGTTTGAAAATGGAGATGTATGAAACTCTCGGAAAAGTGGGAGAGGGAAGTTATGGAACAGTCATGAAATGTAGACATAAGGATACTGGACAGATAGTGGCCATTAAGATATTTTATGAGAAACCAGAAAAATCTGTCAACAAAATTGCAACGAGAGAAATAAAGTTTTTAAAGGTTTGCTTCTTTTACCTTAGTTGCTGTAAGTCAAAAGAGGAATTGTTATATAGTAAAAAATTATAAAAGGAATATTTTATTTAACACATATATTAAGACATATGGTAGGAAAAGAGTGTGGTACCCTACCGTATTGTCTACATTTTGAAATTTTATAGCGCTGTAAGGTACATAAGCTTATGTATAGTGTAACAAATGTTACGCCAAATGTGAAGTATTCAGAAATATGCAGGTATAATAATTAGTAAAAATACCTGCTTTGTGAAAGGCATTTTGCCAGATGATGAGATTATAATACAGTATCTGCTTTTCAGAACTTTTATTATTTAATCAGAAAGACAGGAAGGCACTTGAAAATCGTACTGAATAGAAAGTGGTTCATAGTAAATGCCAAGTGATTAACACAAAGTCCATTTGGTAGAGAACTTTTCCTGGAGGAAATAGGACATGAATTTGGCCTTAAAGGAGATACAGAATTTAGGCAGGAGAAACTAATTTATTCCATGTTAGGAGAACAACATAAACTCAGAGATGCCCAAGTAGGACAGAGGAGAAACCAGAGATGTTTGCCTGTAGAGTTTTTGTAGAGAAGTAGAAAGAGGTGATATTAGAGAAGTAAACAAGAATTAGGTTTTAAAGTCTTGTCTTTTTTTTAAAAATATATATTAAAATGTTTATTTATTTTGAGAGAGAGTGAGGTAGGGGCAGAAAGAGAGAGAATCCTAAGCAGGCTCCATACTTAGCACAGAACCAGATGAAGGGCTCGATCTCACAACCACTAGATCATGACCTGAGCCAATAGGAAGAGTCTGACACTCAAATCATTGAGCCACCCAGGCGTTCCAAGTTTTTTCTTTAAAGGACAAAACTTGATTTTGTAGGAGGTGGAATATTTTTGAATTCAAAATAAACTATACATATTAATCTAGCACTATTTTTTTTAGAATAGATTGGAAGACTAAAAATAGGGAGGTCTCTTATAAATTTAATTCAGGAATACCTGGTAAATATGAGAGCCCTTGCTGAATTGCAGCAATTTGAATTTAGAGTTAGAAAAGTAAAGTTAAAACAGAATATATTGCAAAAGAAGACATGAAATGATGTATAAAGAAGCAAGGGGAGGAGAAAAAGAATTGTTAAAGTTTAGTGACAGTTACCATTGATGGAAATATGAAAGACCCAAAAAACATGGTCTGAGAAATAGTTCACTTTTAGAAATGTTGAATTTGAGGTGACAGGAATATGTTTAAGTAAAAATGACTAGTGTGCTTTTAGAGACAGGGGCAGAAGATAGAATTTTGTGTGAGTATGACAGGTCAACCCAGGAGAAAGAACTCCAGAGTGTGAAGAAAGGAGGGTTAGCATTCTTTGCAGATGAGGTATAGTGATTAAAAAAATTTAAATCTACATATTTTATTTATTGCAATTTGTCTAGATGCTTTAAGGTTTACAACTTTCACAACCTAGTCTAGATGTTTTATGTGATGAAGAAAACATACTCTCATTCGTTTTTATCCAATATGTAGGTAATATTTGCCTTTTTTTATAACTGAAGTATAATTAATGCACAGTGTTATAGTAGTTTCAGGTGTACAAGGTAGTGATGTGTGTTCACCACAGTAAGTGTAGTTTTTTAGTCATGCTCTGTCACCATACAATGTCACTAGAATATTATTGACCATATTCCCTATGCTCTAGTTTTCATCTCTATGACTTTTTATCACTGGAAGTTTGCACCTCTTTTAAAAAAAGTTTTATTATTAAATTTATTTTTGAGAGGGAGAGAGACAGAGCGTGAGCAGGAGAAGGGCAGAGAGAGGGAGACACAGAATCTGAAGCAGGCTCCAGGCTCTGAGCTGTCAGCGCAGAGCCTGGTGTGGGGCTCGGACTCGTGAACTGGGAGATCACGACCTGAGCCAAGTCAGATGCTTAACAACTGAGCCACTCAGGGTTCCCTGGAAGTTTGTACCTCTTAATCCCCTTTATTTATTTTGCCCACCTACTCTCTTCCCTCCCCTCTGGCAACCAACAGTTTGTTCTGTGTTTTTAAGAATCTGTGTGATTTTTTGTTTGTTGATTTGTAGTTTTTAGATTCCACATATAAGTGAAATCATATGGTATTTGTCTGTCTTTGACTTATTTCACTTAGCATAATACCTTCTAAGTCCCTCAGTGTTGTCACAAATGTTAAGATCTCATTCTTTTTGGATGCCTGTCTGGCTCAGTCAGTAAAGGGTACAACTCTTGATCTCAGGATTGTGAGTTTAAGCCCACATTGGGTGTTGAGATTACTTAAAAAAAAAAATCCCATTCTTTTTATGGTTGAGTAATAATCTGTGGTGCATATATATATGTATGTATGAATATATACACATTTCATCTTTATCCGTTCATCTATGGATGGACACTTAGGTTGTTTCCATATCTTGGCTGTTGTAAATAAGCTGCAATAAACAGGGTGCATGTATCTTTTTGTTCTGTTTTTGTTTCTGTTTTCCTTTGTTTTGTTTTTTTGCACGCATTTTTTTGAACTAATGTTTTCATTTTCTTTGGGTAAATGGCTATTTACCCAAATGGAATTACTGGATTATATGGTATTTCTAATTTTTTGAGCAACCTCCATACTGTTTTCCACAGTAGTTGCTCCAATTAATAGTCCCCCCTCCCAACCCACAACAGTCAACAAGGGTTCCCTTTTTTCTACATCCTTGTCAACACTTATTTTTTCTTGTCTTTTTGATACTAGTCTTTCTGGTTGGTGTGAGATGGTATCTCATTATGGTTTTGATTTGCATTTCCCTGATGATTACTCATATTGACCATCTTTTATGTGCCTGTTGGCCAATGTCTTCTATGGAAAAATGTCTATTCAAGTCCTTTGCCCATTTTTAAATAGTATTATGTTTTTACTTTAGAGTTGTGTAAGTTCTTTATATATGGTGGATATTAACCCCTTATTGGGTACATCTTTTGTAAGTATCTTCTCCCTTTCACTAGGTTGCCTTTTTGTTTTGTTGCTAGTTTCCTTTGCTGTGCAAAAGCTTTTTATTTTGGTGTAGTCCAATTTATCTTTCCTTTTGTTTCCCTTGCCTGAGGAGGTAGATTCATAAACATGTTGCTAAGGGGGACTCTCTAAGAGATTACTGCTTAATGTTTCCTTTTAGAATTTTATGGTTTCAGGTCTCACAGTTAGGTCTTTAATGCATTTTGAGTTTATTTTTATGTATGGTGTTAAAAGTGGTGCAGTTTCAATTTTTTGCTACATAACTGTCCATTTTTCCCAGTACTATCTATTGAAAAGATTGTCTTCACCGGATTGTACATTCTTGCCTCCTTTGTTGTCAATTAATTGACCATACAGGTATGTTCTTTTCTATTGATCTGTATGTCATTTTTTTGTGCCACTTCCATTTATCTGTGTGTTTCATTGATCCTGCGTCCTGTTCTCTTGATTTATGTATCTTTTTTTTGTACCCATACCATATGGTTTTGATATTCTAGCTTTGTAGTATATCTTGAAATCTGAGACTGTGATGCTTCCAGGTTTGTTCAACTTTCTCAAGGTTGCTTTGCCTATTTGAGGTCTTCTGTGATTCTATACAAATTTTAGGATTATTTGTACTAGCCGTTTGAAATTCTTTCTTTGTAAACCTATATTAGATATGATGGATAATTTTTTTATTTTTTATGTTTTTTAAAGTTTATTTTTTTATTTTTGAGAGAGAGAGAGTGCACACAAGTGTACACACAAGCAAGGAAGGGGCAGAGAGAGGGGGAGAGAGTAAACCTAAGCAGACTCCACACTGTCAGCACTGAGCCTGATGCAGGGCTCGATCTCACAAAGTGTGAGATCATGACCTGAGCTGAAATCAAGAGTAGGATGCTTAACCAACTGAGCCACTGAGGCATCTCAATTTGCTTTTTAAGCAGAATAAGTATTTTGGGCATCTGTACATGTATAGATTGTTGAAGTGCTCTGTTTCTAGAAAATGGAAAGCAAAGAAAGTCAGTAAAGATGTCGTGATTTGTGAGTTGCTAGTACTATTCCTGATGACCTAAAACATAGTAATAATGTAAGGCAATTGTTGTATATTGTAAGTGAAAATCTGATCAGAAGGAGATCTTTTCATGGGCAATATCTTTTGGTCTTTCTTCAACTCTGTTACATTTAAGGTTTTTTTGTTTTGTTTTGTTTTTTTTTTTTTTTTTTTACTTTATCATTTTGTGAAAACAACCAATATGTGGCAAGAACACAAAGATAAATTTGAAAATGTACTTTATTATTATCATGCAAACTGTGTTGAGATACCTTAGCTATTTATTTTCATTGGCTTCTTTCTTTCTTTTTTTTTGAAAACATTTTTTTATTCATTGGTTTATTTCTTACAGAAGTTTTAGTTTGATCTTATCTAATTCAGGAAGATAGTTCTTGGATTAGTTCACATTTTTAGCCTAAAAAGATTGCCATAGTGACTTACATATTTGAATTAAATTTTTTCTTCTAGAATTTTGTTAAATAAATTATGTCGAGAGTCATTAGTGATAATATCTGTAGAAAAGTTATCTGATAATGAAGGAAAAACATAAAGCAAACCATTTGAAAAGTGGCAATGGAGCATTTATAGGAGTTTCAAGGTTTATCTGAGAAAACACCTGATTCCTTACCCTGGGTAGATCTTCTGTAGTGCTTATTAACTCACATTAACTCTTTGTTGCTTTTGCCTTTAAAATAAAGACTGGATGGGGAACCAGTAGTTTTCCTTACTTGAAGGATTGGTAGAGTAGTGTCCAAAAGCAGCCAATTGTTTCTGCTACCGCCAGCATGGTGTCACTGCAGCATTCTGACATCTTGCCAATCAGGGAAATTGGGAGCAAAAATAGGAAGGGAATCTGGCATTATATTCTGGCATGTTTTTCTTTAGGTCATATTTTAAGGACTTTGGTCTATGTGTTAGTGCAGATAAGTTAAAAAATTGATATTGTGCCTTTAGAATAAAGGCAAATATTTTTTCATAAAAGCATAGTTTTCTAATGAATCTAACTTTGAAAATAGATATCTCAATTAAAACTATTTTTTAAGTTTATTTATTTATTTTGAAAGAGAGCAAGTGTGAGCAGGGAGGGGCAGAGAGAGAGAGAGAGAGAATCAGAAGCAGGCTCCACGCACTGTCAGCACGGAGCACAGTGTAGGGCTAGATCTCATTGAAACACAAGATCATGACCTGAGAAATCAAGAGTCTGCTCAGGTACCTCTGTAGCTCTCAATGTTTAGCCAAATGAATAAACGTTTTTGGTAATTTGAAAATGTTAAATATTTGAGACTATTTGGTAATAATTCGGTGTGTTGAAAACTAAAGTAAGCAGCATAAAACATGGAGCCTTATTTGTTTTCTAAGCTGGTATATGCCATTTTTGCCCTTTGGAAGTTATTTTACCAGTGATTGTTACTTAGTTTAAAAGATGCTTTATTGCTTAATAGCATGTTATAGACAGTGAACAAAAAGATATCCACAAATAATGGTATATTTTTATAAAGTTTGTACAGCTATAAATTGTTTTTTCACATATCTGAAATGGTTCTAGATATTTTGATTTTTAGTACAATTAATTTATACTGTCTACTTGGAACTTAATGTTTTACTTTTGAGAGTTTAGGATCAAACTCTCAAAAGAAAATTTCTGTGAATTCATATCACATACTGAGTGGCATTGAAATCCATGCTCACTGGAAAATGTAAGAACATTTTAAATTTCAGATGTTAATTTTAACTACAAACCAATTTAAAGGATAGAAAGATCTGTTTTAGCAGATACCAAGTTGTATTATGGTACATTAACTTTAAGTTATTTTAATAAGTCAAATGCCAACCTCAGATAAGGCAAAACATGTCCCCTTGTTTTATATATATTAATTAAGAAATAGTTGAGCATTTTTAGGTTTATTTTTTGAGTAATCTGTACACCTAATGTGGGGCTCCAACTCAAGACTGTGAGCTCAAGAGTTGCGTGTTCTTCCGAGTAAACCAGACAGGTGCCCTGAGTTTAGCATTTAAAAAAATAGATATGTAAGCAAATAAATTGGAAGTTTTCTATTGAAATGCATGGAATAAAAGAAGCTAAGAATATTTTTGCTTTATAAGATTATATGGGTCTTGGGTCACCTGGGTAGCTCAGTTGTTTAAGTAAGCATTTGACTCTTGATTTCAGCTCAGGTCATGATCTCCCTCCCTCTCTGCCCATCCTCTACTTGTATGAGCACTCTCTCCCAAAATAAATAAATAAACTTTAAAATTATATAAGTGTTTTATGTACAAATTACTGTGCATGTAATAATTTATTAAAAATATGTTTCTTTTCTCAATAGCAATTTCATCATGAAAACCTGGTCAATCTGATTGAAGTTTTTAGACAGAAAAAGAAAATTCATTTGGTGTTTGAATTTATTGACCACACAGTATTAGATGAGTTACAACATTATTGTCATGGACTAGAGAGTAAACGACTTAGAAAATACCTGTTCCAGATCCTTCGAGCAATTGAATATCTTCACAATAATAATGTAAGTGCTTCAGAGTAAGCCAAACTATAGGCTGTATATGAATTATAAGTGCCCTTTATGAAGGCTTAACATTTATTTTCCTGTACAATAGTAATTGAATTGGGGTCACTGCCTTATAGTTTAGATACAGAATTGTAAAACATTGACTACACAATAATAAAACTATAACAATAGGGCACACCAAGTTGGGATACTAAAGGAGGGATCAGTAATTTGGTAAGGAAGAATCAATAGTCAATTGAGACACCTTTTATTGGGGAAAGTACATTAAAATGTCAGGCTGGCTCAAATGAAGGGATGTTTGGAGGTAGAAACTGGAAACTGGGACAGGGTAATGGCAAATGAATGTTAATGTCTTTAGGGAAAGAAAGCAAAAATAAAGTGGCTAAGAGGTATGGAGCCTTGTTTAACATGAAAAAATCAAGGCAGGAAAGATCAACTGTTCTGATTTTTAATGTTGCCTTTAGCATTGCCTAGTAAGTGTTTAGCTCAGCAGGTTGTTGTTGTTGTTGTTTATTTATTTTGAGAACGATGGAGACAGCGCAAGCCCAGGAAGGATAGAGAGAGAGGAAGAGAGAGAGCATTTCAAGCAGACTCCACAGATGTCAGCGCACAGCCCAATGTGGGGCTCAATCTCATGAACCCTTAAATCATAACCTGAGAGGAAACTAAGAGTCTCATAGTCAGCTGACTGTGCCACCCAGGTGTCCTGAGCTCAGCAGGTGTTTGTGGAGTTTTTTGTTCCCAACTTGAGCTTTACTTTCTGGAAAGTTAGATATATATTCAGTAAGAGCCTTAAAATATAGTCATATTAGTAATTGATATAGATACAGTATCTATATATCCTAGGCTTTTTTGGATATTTTAATTTCTTTTTAAAAATTTTTTTTTAAATCTTTTTTTGGTTTTACACATATTTTTTTTTTAATTTTTTTTTAATGTTTTTTTATTTATTTCTAGGAGAGAGAGAGACAGCGTGAGCAGGGGAGGGTCAGAGAGAGAGGGAGTCACAGACTGAAACAGGCTCCAGGCTCTGAGCTGGCAGTCAGCACAGAGCCCGACGCGGGGCCCGAACCCACGAACCGCGAGATCATGACCTAAGTGAAAGTCGGACGCTTAACCGACTAAGCCACCCAGGTGCCCCTTTTTAAAAATTTTTTTAAACATTTATTTTTGAGAGACAGAGGGAGACAGAGCATGAGTAGGGAAGGGCAGAGAGAGAGAGGGAGACACAGAATCTGAAGCAGGCTCCAGGCTCGGAGCTGTCAGCACAGAGCCAGATGCAGGGCTCAAACTCACAAACCGTGAAATCATGACCTTAGTTGAAGTCAAATCCTCAACTGACTGAGCCACCCAGGGGCCCCTTGGATATCTTTATTTCTAATTTTCTGTCTTGCTAATAGTATATCTCACTTTACAGTTTTGAAAAATGTGCTTGTGATAGCAACTGGAATTCAGACTATAATCTCCTTGCCAGCTGGATCCTTGGGGAGGCAGTATAATGTAACAGTTAAGAGCACAGTCTGTGGAATCAGACTGTGTTAGGATTTCACCCACCAGTTCTGCTATGGATAACAACACAACTTGTACAGTTCACAGCTCACTGTCGTAGTGAGGCTGCAGCTCCATTACCCGCTGGTCCCAGGAAAGTTATCTAACCTCTCTGAGCCTCATCCTCCTCATCTGTAAAATGCTTCTATAGTAATACATCACAGATTTTTTTTATAAAGGTCAAATTAGGTAGTACGTATAAAGTATTTAGCACTGTGTCAAGCATATTTTAAGTGCTTAATAAGTAGTGCTGGTAAGGAGTCAGGAATCGTATTATCTGTATCCCTATAGTGCCCTATCTGTTTAAAATGTTTCTTGATTTAAGGGAGACCAGTATGGGCTCTGAGTCCTCTGAGTAGAGGACTTCAAAGAGGAAGTAAAACTTAAGGAAGTAGAACTTGGAATTGTAGCTAGGATTTCACTGGAAGCAAAGAAGACATAAATTCATATGGGGTGTAACTATGAGAAGAGTGGCAGGCCTGAGCAGGGGACTTCAGAGAGGGGCGATAAGTAAGCTCTGCGTAGACTGGGTAAAACGTGATAAGCTGGCACAGGTGCCCTGGGGAGAGGTTTCCACAGTCCTGAGATTCATCCTCAAAGAGTTTGGACTTTTTCCTGAGGATACTGGGGAACCATGGAAGGGTTTTAAGCCTGGCTGTAACAGGATTCAAACAAAACCTAAGCTTATTTTCGCAAGTGTAGAGGATAAGTATGGGTAGAAGCAGATCAGGTGAGAGACTATTGTGGCAATCCAGGTATGAAATGGTGAGGGCTTGGAATAGGAAGGGGAGGGATGGCAAAGGGAGAGAATGGAAAGACTTCAAAAGAGATATGAGGGGCGCCTGGGTGGCTCGGTTAGTCAAGCGTCCTACTCTTGATTTTGGCTCAGGTCATGATCTCACAGTTTGTGAGATCAAGGCCTGTTATGGGCTTTGTGCTGTCAGCACCGGCTCCTTTTTGGATTCTCTCTCTCTGCCCCTCCCCTGTTAACAATTGCGCTCTCAAAAACAAAACAAAACAAAACAAAAGAGAGAAATGATGAGATGTGGGGACTAAGTAAATATGAGAGGGATGCGAATAAAATAAGTCAAAGGTAATTACAAGGTTTTTAATTTGAGAGCAGGAGAATTTTGTTACCATTGATAGTAACTGGTTTTTTTTTAGAAGAGGGAATTGCTTTTAGAAATATTGATATATTTTAAGAGACAGTGAGAATTTCTAAGTAAAAATAGCAGTTGACCAATTATTTAACATGGCCATTCTAGGAAGTTGTCAGAACTGGGTATCTCTGGGATTCAGGAATCTTCCTCTTATAGACTATGGTTGAAGAGGTAAGGATGGGTTATTCTCCAAGGGACAGAAAGAAACAGTCCTCAGCACTGCGTATGGAAGAATATCCATGGTTTGTGAGGGCAGCAGAGAAAAAGACCCAGGCAGAAGCACCTAAATTCTTTTATTCTCTTGGTTTTAATAGGACCTGAAGTAAAATTACCCCATCTCTCACCTCACAGAATATTCTAAAATTAGTAACCCTGGAGAATTAAGGCAGCCATGAGTGGAGTGGCTCGTTAGAATATTATTATGCTTATTATCTGGATATCTGGAGTCTGGCCTTGATATAAGATTATCTTCATGTTGACAAAAATCAAGAAGAAAACTTTCTTTTCCTATTATCTCCAAATTTCGGGTGAATGGGTTTTTATATAACTGAAATGTCTGAGATATTGTTTACCGTGATACCCCACATTACTTTTTCTTTTAATGTTTATTTATTTTGAGAGAGAGAAAGAGCAAGGCAGGGGCAGAGAGAGCCGGGGAGAGAGAATCCCAAGCAAGGTCAGCACTGTTAGCACAGAAACCCAGCACGGGGCTCAGTCTCATAAGCTGTGAGATCATGATCTGAGCCAAAATCAAGAGTAGGATGCTTAACTGACTGAGCCGCCCAGGCATCTGCCATGTTACTTTTAATAAGAACTTTTGAAGTCAGATATAGTTCACTACCAGAAAAGTTTTTTATCTCCAGAAGTACTCGTTTACCTTCTTTTTAATTTTGAAAATATGTTTTCTATATTGGCTTTTAGGCAACTTAAACAAAAATTTACTCTTCACTTGCAATAACTATTTTTTTAATGTCTTTTATTTATTTTTGAGAGTCAGAGAGAGGCAGCGCAAGCAGGGGAGGGTCAGAGAGAGAGAGGGAGACACAGTATCCCAAGACAGCCTTCAGGCTCTGAGCTGGCTGTTAGCACAGAGCCCGACGTGGGGCTTGAACCCACGAACCGTGAGATCATGACCTGAGCCAAAGTCGGACACTTAATCGACTGAGCCACTCAGATGCCCCTTGCAATAATTATTTAATTATCTTTTTCATTCTGGTTGTTTTTTATGATTTAAAATTTTGATCTGCTTAATAGTATAAGCCTCTTATACCTGAAACAAGTGTAACTCTGTGTGTCAACTTATACTTACATAAAAAATTTTAAAAATATATTATAAAATATCCAAACTATGTAGCATGAGATTATGTGCTGTTTGTGCTGACATGCATCGCTGGTCTCCCACTATCAAACACACAAATGAGAGTTCCCTGTGTCCACCTTTAATGGAAGCAAGTGTGTTGTCATGTAACTTCAGCTAATTATTTTAGAGGAAATGAGTCTGACAGATTAAAACTGTAAACAACAATACATCTTATGCTAGTATTCCATTATAATAATTTTTTAAAACTCTAAGTTTTAGAATTCATGTGATAACCCAAACTGCTTATTATTTACTTACAGAGAAAACACCATACTGTGCACAAAGTTGTAAACTTCATGCATGTCAAAACAATTCCTCAAAGATAATACGTGTCCTACAAGCTTGTGAACCAATGTTAAGTGATATGTGAACAGCTTGTTAATTCTAAATGAATAAAGTTTTGTGAATCTTGGAAAAAATATAGAAGTTTCTTTAAAACCATTTTGGAAGCAAAGTGTAAATGTGAATATTTGGCCACTTATGGGGAAGAAATGGTTATTTATTCCCTCATTTATTTATGTGATAAATATTTATTGATCATCTTCCATTAACAGTCATTGATTGTAGTGGGAGCTGAGGATGGAGCCTTGAGGAAAAGACTTAGCTCCTACCCATATGGAGCTTCTTAAATTTTATTCAGTTTCCAGTAACTTTTATGAATTATGATACTTTTGACTAATACCTAAGCACTGTCAATCTTTCTTACCCCACCCCACCTCCTACTCTGCAAAGTTCTGTTTTCCTAAATTTAGGCCACTTGTGCTTAGTTTCTTTTTTTTAATTTTTAAAAATTGTTTTATTTATTTTTTGAGAGAGGGAACGTAAGTGGGGGAAGGGCAGAGAGAGAGAGAGAGAGAGAGAGAGGGAGGGAGGAAGGGAGGGAGAGACAGACAGAGGATTCGAGACGGACTCTGTGCTGACAGCCTGAC